ATGCTTCTACAACTGGTTATTGAGAACTGCCAACTTGCAAGCTCGAAGAAGTAAACAACTACACGTAATTTCAATACTCAACTCTTATTGGTGTCACAGAAAGTCCCATGCAACATATACTTCCCAGCCGAACTCACGAAATGGGAATAAGGCAGGCAGTTACTGAATAATTTAAAGTCCCATTTGCTGGCTCTCCCGATTCGCACTTCCTGGTTACATTTGCTTTGGTTATCAACGCCTCTCTCACCATGAGACTTCAAATGGTTTTAGTCATCGACAGCTTTCTTTTTGTGTCTCTTTCTGCTGCGGGCGGATTTTCTAGCACCTGCGATCAGATAGGGCTTGAGAACCAGCATTACGTTGTTGCAAGCTGCACTAGAACGGATGGTACCGTGGCCAAAAGTAGCTTGGATTTGAATTCTTGCTACCGTAATCGTGGTGGGAATCTTATATTTGAAAAGGGGTCAGTCTGCCCTGAATATGGAAGTTCCGGCGCTAATAGTCTGCAGTGGGGAAATGGGGAGATTTTGCCTATCCTGCAGCGTTGATAGGAATTGGCTATCGTGTGGGTGTCTGACTTACACGGGCGATATCAACTATCCTAACATTGATATGAGTGAGTAAAAGCTCGAAACTATTTACCTTTACGTCACCTGACCATTTTTAGATCTAGCCATTTCTAACTTGAATGGCAAGTTGACGTGCTAGACTCTCTAAGAACTACATCGAGTAATCGGTATACTTGGGGGTTGAAGAATAGATGCCTGTTTGTCCTACAGCAGTAGCAGTATACTAACTGTACGAGGTGCAAATGAATATATTGCAGATAGGAGGGCAAAAGAGGATTTCAATAACGTGGCGGATAAGGCATATAAAGAGGCGTGCGGCGATCTCCTCCTCGCCTCCGGTAGAAGGTCAAAAGCCTGCTTCGTATAGTAAAAGGGCAGGGGAAATCGGGTAATCAGTTGCATTTTATAGATTCTGCAGGATATAGGCGTTGAAATGCGAATTGCTTCAAAATCTGTGTCAACCGTATGTGACCGCAGTTACATAGGAGACCTTCCTATTCCGGATATCGGTATTGGTAGCTACCGATCCCCGAGGATTGTTATTTCCATTGTTCAAAAGTTATATCTCTTGCAGTTGCCTTTTTAGGCTAGATTGCTTATTATTCTTCATGTATTTAAATCATCGTTTGCAGCTAGATTGAAAGAATCAGACCTTCATCATTCGATATTCCTACGGGTACATTACTAGCAATTACGCCAGAGAGACGGCCAACAATCTGCTTCTACAGTGGAAATGCGGTAGCTGGCCCGGTCCGCCGCTAGGTATTAGGTACTGAGGTCCACAAAAGTAGTTAGTTAGTATTGGATCATGAAAGTTTGGTATTGCCTTGTAATTTGTATGCAGAATCGAGGCTCAATGAAGGTCTGATCCTCTTGATCTAGAGGATCGAAACGAAGCTATTTAACATGCAATATGACTACGTGGCTTCTTTGAAATCGGCTGATCACCCAAGGAACATCTAGCTTACTTCGATAATAGGGTCGCAAAGACTTAAACTCGTTGTCCATTTCGAGTCAACGTTTGACAGCAACTATTGTTCAAACACGGGGAATACTTCGGCCCTTCAAATAACTGGCGGAAATGGTGCCACATCACCAAGAGCGGGGTATAGTGGTTTATGCAGAGCTGGGCGGCAAGCTGCAGTTGCTTTTGGAGATAGGGCTAGGCTGTCTTCCGCCCTCCTGCTCCTACAACTCTGATGTGCTTAATGGAAGCAAACCGAAATGGTATATGGAACAGATTAACGAACTTGATTCACAGCTGATATCGAATCACTAACATTACAAACATAACTGACAACTGAAAGCGGCTCTGTAGATAAAATATTGTAGGAAGTAACTCAATTCCTAATGTTAGTAAAGATTTGGATTTGGGAACCAGAATCCCTCAGACTGCTTAATTTCTCATTGGCTAATTAGCATATATATAAAGATTAAGCTTGCCGCTTTCATTCGAGTGTCTTGTCCATTTAATCACTTCTCTATTCTATCATGTTAACGTACAATACATACAGTAACAGGCCTCAGTTGCTAGCTTCTGCTTGGCTAATAGTCATGTTAATCCATGCGAAAATTGTACTCGTGCGTTCTTGCCCAGCACCAGAGTGAGAACGATTCCCAGCAACCTCGTTGTAGTTATGCAGAGTCCCCTGAGCCTAGGAAAATATCCCATAGCATGTTTCGTCCTATTTTTATTAGGTAATATGCCAACGTCAGTAAAAGGAAGGGCGCAATATTATGTCCTACTTTTTTTCTTCCTTTTTGAGGTGTAAGTCCCCTGGCCCACTAGCTTTACCATTAGACTAAAAAGGCACAATGAATGACCAACAGGTCATTCAGCTAGTGTACTATATACGTCAGGTCCCTGACATTTGCCCTGTTTGTCATGTTGAACACCTCAGTTTGATTCGCAGAAAAGCGAAAAAAGCTGAATGGTGGTATTATGAGTTACGTAGCATTCACATTCCCTCGCAAACATGTGTGTAGCAACTAATTTAAGATAGGCACGTATATTCTACTCGTTAGATTCTATGCTGGAACCTCTTAAGATTTAAAGAATCAGATTTCCCATTTACCAATTCTATAGCTTTAAAAGCGCCGTAAATTTTGTTATATCACCGGTCAATAAGATCATCGCCGATTGTCCTGTCGTTCGCAATGACCTGTAAAGACGTCATATTATCAAAAACACACTATCGCTCCTACCCAGCGTTTCTCGAGCTATGTATCCTCCTGTTCCTAGAGTTGCAAAACAAAACAAGCCCACGGCACCATGAAGGATTTGAACCTGGCTCCATACAGGAAATGACTGGCCCCATTAGACTGGTAGCATTCAAGGAACCTAGCAAACCTCAGGAGTTCATTAAGGGCCCACAAGCCGAAAAAGCATATAATAAAGCCGAAAATATATCTAGATGTCTTGCCATATGTCTCTCTGTCATGTTTCACCGCCTGATGATGGCTGCATTGCCAAAGAATGTTCCATCAAGTCGTGCCTGCCTGTCATTGGATATGATTCATCATCAATATTTGGCGACTGGGAAGCACAAAGACATGCAAAACGAAATTCTCAATGTCATGCCACAGAGGGTCATATTAACGAACGATAATTTAAGTAGTTTTCAAAAATTGTTTGATGAAAGGTATCATATCCATGGTCGACATCAGCTGAACGCACTGTCCATTGATCTATATCGACGCAATTTTCCTCAATTGCTCAAGTCGGCGCTTCGACTGATGACGAGAAAAGGAAAAATCAGAAAAATTAGCAAAACTATTTATCGTTTCACAAATAACAAACGGTCGTTGACTCGTTGCATATACATGGCACTCAAGCTTTATAATGTAAGCCTTGAAGACGCAACTACCGCAAATGGCGAGCTTAAAATAGTGCAAGAGATTGGTCTGAGTTCTAGTCCGGAAGCTTGAAGTTCGCATGTTTGTCGTTAGTATACATAGTAAATTGGAAAACACAGGTCTTGCCCCAAGGTTCATTGGCCATGTCCACGAGCATGGCCGTGTAATCGGCTTTATGCTAGAAAAGCTCAGAGGGCGTGAAGCAAACATCAAGGATCTTTCGACTTGTCAATCTGCCCTCCAGCGCCTACATGACATTGGCATCCTCCATGGCGAAGTCAACAGATACAACTTCATTATTCAAAACGGTACGGCGCGGCTGATTGATTTTGAGAAAAGCCAATTTTGTAATGTCGCTACTGCATCTATGCAAGCCGAGATGGATAGCCTATGTGATCAGTTGGTGGAGGACACCAGACACGGTGCAGGTTTCGCTCGGTGAAATCAGCCTAACTAGGAAAGCGGCAAGTCCCTCTCGGACTTATTCCAAGACCGTGTTGATCAGCTAGCCAGGAAATCCTTTGTTACGCCGATTGCCCTTGCTGATAGGACAGAGAATGGTCGCGATTATGCTGTTTTATTCGTCGTGTTTGCTTTCTAGCGCAATACTTATTGCAACAGCCCCTCGCTTCTTTTCCCTAATTTACATGGAGTCAGCACCATTCGAATGATAGTAGGCTATGTACCAGTCCGTTGGAAAGAGTGTGTATGGTCATTCTGCGTGCTATACTCGAGTTCAGAACCGGCGCCCGGGTCTTAGATTCATTAATTGTTTTCCAAATCTGTGGCAGAAATATGTGGGTCTACCGGGAAGCGATTATTCAACTAAGGAATAGGATCGTTTTCAACTGAATGAAGGTCTTGATTCTTTCTAACTACACGATAAAGAAGCCGATATTTATGCAATTTCAGGGGCTTCAGGATCGTCATAAAATGAGCGGAATTGCATGATCTATATCGTCATAAATCATACGATTTTATATTGATCGGTTGCATGATCGGTCCGGTCAAGCAAGGCGATGATATGAGCGGATTAGTCATCTCCCGCGGCCACAAAATCCTTTGCCAACAGGGCGCTAGTCCTCTTTCGGACAGGCTCGAAACATCGACTGGAATAGAGTTTTTATATCATCGCTATGGTGCCTTTAAGATGGAACCTATTACTCTGGAAATCAATATACACATACCAAGTAATTCTATCCTGTTCTCCCTCTTGTCACTCTGGTCATTTCTATTTCCATCCAAGTAGATTAGGGTCGTTGATCTTCCTCTCTTCTCAATCAGTAGTGGCGGCACTCCCGATTGTGTGACGAACGGCTACGCTGGCTATAAGAAATCGCGAAAATGTAGGATATGCATTCAACGAAGAAACTAAGCTAGGTTGTGAAGCTAGATCCGATCGGGTAGTTAGGTCATAGGGTATCGCGAAGGAAGGTCTTCGGAGGCAGGTCACAGTCCGTGACAGATTGCTCATTATTAGCTTCCTTGCATCTTTATCTGCCTTGCGGTGCTTCCAGTCGGAGTGATCCTAACTTTTCTAGGCATTAGGGTAATCGCGGATCCCTATCAAGTCGTCTATGAAGGGATAGTGTAGATCGATTTATTGATGCGCTCTGCATGATATGCAGTGAAACCCCACGGTAAAACAACGCCCCGTAGTAAGTAGCATTGTCCGGCCCTGTTTTCGATCTCAACGTCGGGAAGATTGGCGGATGTAGCGTTCGCACAGACAAACACTCGTCGAACCTCTGGATTCGCTACTAGGTTTGCGAGCGTTATTGGCTTGATCGATGTTTCTTTGGTATCAACCTCGCCAATAATAGGCTTATAGCAGCCCCAGGTCACAGCCTGTGATGTACCTTGACTGGCACCAACAAGGACGCCTCCAATAGCCCATCCCACTGGATTCCACATGTTGGGAACAGTCATCCCCGTTAAAGCAATCACAGCGTTTTCGGCAGCAATAGCTGTAGTAAGTGCAGCCTCGGCAGCGGTGCCGCTGGCCACACTACCAGCAGCGAGAGCACCCTCAGAAATGAGGGCAGCAGAGGCAGCAGCGGCCTTCTCAGCAACAGCCAACACGGCAGCTCCCGCGGTGCCACCGGTGGAAAATACCAAAACCATGACGATCGTTTGTTTTGTGCAACGTGCTTGAGATGAGAGGTAAAATGTTGTTTCGTGCTTTGCAATGCGGGGTAGATGGGAAGAAGTGATTAAACAATTAAAATGGCGGCAGAGCTGAAAAGCCAGATCGACCAGGCCGGTGTGACGATCTACAAAAGAGCTTAATATAAGACAATTTTGTTTCTGACTCTGAGTCAAGGAATTTTCCCATGGGGAAGAAAGGCTATCTAGAAGGGAGGATGTAGGGGCTCTATATACTGCCCGAGGCTCTGCCTCAGGCAGGAAGGCCTGCAGAGCATCCAGGAAGGTTCCTGGATGCCTACCGGAGGGTCCCTAGATCCTATACTAACTAACCGGAACGTTCCTCCCGAACGTTCCTCCACACCGGGAACTTCCCTAACTTCAGGAGGTCACAGCCGGGTCACGGGATATGCCAACCCGAATCAGAAACGAGGGGCATAAGCCATGATGAGGCAACCTACTCCCTACGCTCGACTCCATCCTACAGAGTACATGCCATGGCGTTTCTCGCCCCCTCATTGGCCCTCCCCTTCCCTCCCGGCGCTACGGCCCCATGCCCATTGGTCACCGCCGCCGCCATCAGAGGGTTAATACACTTCATCGTTTGTATACGGTGCGGTACCGTATGTACCATTCAGTCCAGTGCCTTTTAGTACGAGCCTTTCCTTATTAGTATTAGCGCATCCTTGGCACACGGCGACAAAGAAACAAAAGAGCAGAAGACCCGGGCGCCGATTCTGAACTTTAGTGTATTTGCTGTTAAAAGACATAATAACATCCCTTCTTTTGAACCGACCTCCACGCCTGACGAATTCCGAGAAGTTAGCGACATCAACCCCTTGATTGCTCCATATCCATCAGGGCTGTTCACGATTTGCCTATTTGCCTATTTTGACGATACTATATCGGCAACTATACTATATAGTCAGTCCT